AGGCCACAAACCAACCACCATTTCCAAGGTGCCAAGAGCAAAAGCAGGGTACTGAGCAGGATCCTTGCACACAGCACAACCAAGGGGGTGGGCAGACCACCTAAGCTATGCCTCATGCCCAACACACTGATCCGCCCCTACCCTCACTCCATTTAAGGAACCAGCACAGGCCACTTCGGGGAGCGAACAAGTGTATCTGTTTCTTGTTTTCTCTCCCTCATGCTGCAGCACAGTCCCAATGAAAGCTCACCTGAATTTCTCATCTGGCCTCGTTAATTTCTATTGATTAAAGAGTCCAAGGGCCTGGGTCCATAACACCCCCAGTTCTCTAGAGAAGGGAGAGGGGCTAGAAAAAACGTTAATAATTGCTCATGTCTCCATGAAGAAGCCTCCACAAAATCCCAATAATAGGAGATTTGGAGAGCTTCCAGGCTGGTGAGCACATACACATCAGGAGGGTGACGCACCTCAGCTCCATGGGGACAGGAGCTCCTGTGCTTGGGACCCTCGCATACTTCACCCTATGGATCACTTCTTTACTTCATCTTCATCACCCTATGGCTGTTCATCTGTATCCTTTATCACATCTTTTAATAAACTGGCAAATGTAAGTTAGTGCTTCTCTAAGTTCTGTGAGCCACCCTAGCAAATTAATTGAACCCAAGGAGGAGGTCACCGGAACCTCCAATCTCTAGTCGGTTCATCAGAAGCACAGGTGATAACCTGGGCTTGTGACTGGCATCTGAAGTGTAGGGGGTAGGGGCAGTCTTGTGGGACTGGACCTTTAACCTGTAGGAGCTGACACTAACTGTGTAGTGTTAAGAATTGAGTTAAATTATAGGACACCCAGCTGGTGTCACAGGGAAGTGCTTATTGGCGGTGGGGGGGAATCTCCAAATATTTGGTGAGCAGAAGTGAAATGTTTTGTGTAGAAGTAAAGGATACACACTGGAAAGAAACGCAGTCGAGAAGGACATTTTTCCACGCTTAGGAGGGAAAAAATTGAGTTTTTCCATTTTATCCATATTGTTGTGTTTATGAGTATCTCGTTCCTTTTGATTGCCAAGTAGCAGTCGATTATATGGCTATGTCACAACTGGTTTAACCATTCATCCATTGATGGAGATTTGAGTTATTTTCTGCTTAGGTCTATTATGAATGAAGCGGCTATAAACATTCGTGTACATTTGTTTTCCTTTCTCTTGGGCAAATACCCAAGGACAGTAATTGTTGGATCATATGGTAAATGCATGTCAAACTTTATGAGAAACTGCCCAACTGTCTTCTTCAGTAGCTATACACTTTTTGTATTAGTACCAGCAGTGTAGGAGAGTTCCGGTTCCTCGCCAAACCTTGGTAATTCATCATTTTAGTGGCTGCATAGTGAGTGGTATTTCATTATGAGCAGAGATTGAACCCAGACCACAGCAGTGAAAGCCCAGAATCCTAACCACTAGGCCACCAGGAAACTCCCTCATTGTGATTTTAATTGCATCCTTTTTTTTTTTTTTTAATTTTTTGACCGTGCAGCCTGGCACGTGGGATCTTAGCACCCCCTGCGTTAGAAGGGTTGAGTCTTAACCACTGGACCAGCAGGGAAGTCCCTGCATCTTCCTGATGACCAGTGATGTTAGGCATCTTTCCATGTGCTTGTCTTCAGTTCCTATATCTTCTTTGTGAAGTGCAATTTTCTTGCACATTTAAATAATTTTGTCAGAGTTCTTACGTATTCTAGATAAAAGTCCTTTACGCAAATGTTTTGCAAATATTTTCTTTAACTCTGTAGCTTACTTTGTAGTTTTCTAAAGAGTCTTTTGAAGAGCAAAAAGTTCTTTAATGAAATCCAGTGTATTGTTTCTTTTTTAGTTCATGTTGTCTCCTGTTTAAGAAATCACTAAGATTTTCTCCTGTTTTCTTCTAGAAGTTTTATAGTTTGGGTTCTTTCATTTAGGTCTAGTTCTATTTTGAGGTTTACTTTGGTTTGTTTTGTGAGGTTTTTTTTGTTCAAGGGGTGAGGTAAGGGTCACGGTTAATATTTTGCATGTGGATATCCAGATGTCCCAGCACAATTTGCTGGAAAGATCATTCCTCTCATCCATCAGGTTGTCTTAGAAACTTTGTAGAAAATCAATTGGCCACAGAGGATTGAATATATTTCTGGAATCTCTATTGTATTTCAGTGATTTTTTTTTTTTGTCTTTCCTTACACCAGCACTACACTGTCTTGATTACTGTGGCTTTATAATATATCTTGAAATCAGGTAGTGTAAGTCCTCCAATTTTTTTGTTTCAAAATTGTTTGCCTCTCCAGATCCTATGCATTTCCATCTGAATTTTAGAATCCAATTGTCAATTTCTATAGAAATGTCTTCTAGGATTTTGACTGAGATGGGAATGAACAGATCAACTTGGAGAGAATGTACCTCTTACAATACAGGATCTTCTGATCCATAAGCATATTTATATCTCTCCATTTATTTAGGATTTATTTCTTTCCACAACATTTTGTACTTTTGCACAGAATGCTTTGCCAGAACTTCCTAGCTTCTGAACCCAACAGTTCCTTCCTGTCCCAATCCTACTAAACCTCTTCAGTGGTCAACCCTGGACCATTCCCTCTTTCTTGAGGCTCCCTCCTCCCTGGACTTTGTGTCATCACCCTGTCCTTGTCTTCCTTCTATTCCTTGGACGATCCCACCCTTTCCTCTCACAGGCGCTCTCCCCGTTTCACATGACCACAGGACGAACAACTGAAGCTGATCGTCAATACCCCAGGTGGCTGCAGTTCCGTGGTCGGCTGTGGTTGGCAGAGACCTGTTATGGAAGGAAGTCTTCTCTTTGGATCTTTTAGAAAACGATCTGCCTTCTCTCCAACAATTGTGGGACAATGATATTTTAAAAGTGTCTTTAAACGATACCCGTCTTGGAATGGGTGAGTCTGGATATTAGAGCAGAATTACCAAACTGGAAAACCTCACCATCTCAGCCTATTGAGATCTTCCAGTTTCATTTTAGTCGCTTTCTTTTTTTTAACCACTCCCACTTTTAAAGATACTGAAATTCACATATCGTAAAATTAAGTGAACAGTTCAGTCAGTGACATTAATACATTCACAGTGTTGTACAACAATCACCTTCACTTAGTTCCAAAACATTTCCATCATTCCAAAGGAAAGCCCCTTACCTGTTAAGTGGTCTCTCCCCATTCCCCTCTAACCCCAGCCCCTGGCAGCCCACAAACTGTGTTATGTCTCTATGGATTTATCTATTCTGTAATTTATTTATTTATTTATTTTGGGCTGCATTTGGGTCTTTGTTTCTGCTCACAGGCTTTCTCTAGTTGCAGTGAGCAGGGGCTATTCTTCAGTTGCCGTGCGCGGGCTTCTCATTGTGGTGGCTTCTCTTGTTGCAGACCACGGTCTCTAGGTGCATGGGCTTCAGTAGCTGTGGCACGAGGGCTCAGTAGTTGTGGCACACGGGCTTAGTTGCTCCACGGCATGTGGGATCTTCCCGGACCAGGGATTGAACCTGTGTCCCCAGCACTGGCACAAGGATTCTTAACTACTGCACCACCAGGGAAGTCCCTTGAGTCACTTTTTACCTGTTCTATTTTGTTAAACTGTTCTCTGTTGCTTAATGGGAATCCCTGGTTACCCAGCCTGTCTGATGAAACTTTAGTAAATAATCAGTAATATTCACAGTAGTATCTAAACAGCAGTGATGTCTTAGGGATGGTGATGGGTGCTGTTTAGCTGTTGGTGCTCCCAACAGTTAGCTCCCAAGAGTTAGCCTTAAGTGTAGGCAAAGTTACACTAAAAATGAGACATTTCATCAAGAAAAGAAAACTACAGAATATCCCAAATTAACTTCCCAAACTAATTTAGCAAGATGCTAGCATAAAATGCTGACGGAAAAAGCAGGGAAAGATGGGAAACACTGACCACAGTTGAGAACCATCTGTGGAGGCCCTCACACATGGGCAGGGAAGATAAAAGTTGCAACTTGTCATCTCTGTCTCCATGTTTAAAACCTGGCTGAAACAGTCCAGCTAAACCTAGCTTCAGTGATCAAGCAAGACCGAGACATGGTGTGACCCCTGTGCTTAAAACCAGAAAGGCACAGCCCAGAACTCTCCCTCTCTCCCCTGCACCACCCACAAAACCATCTAGCTCTGAGTTATTTCATTCTGTCTTATTCATTGGGTGTTTGTGCGGGTTTTATGAAGGTAATATTTTTAGATGAGGACTGAAAGATTATGGCAGCACACTTAAACGTACAAACACACAAATGAATACAACAAATGCTGATTTTACCTTCACGGGATTATAAAAGAAAGGTCTATCCCCATTTTAGCCCTTTCTCTTCCTCTCTTTTTCTCATCTGGTAATTGGGTAGTACAGAGGGAAGTAGACCCTAATTTCAGTTCCTCTTTGCAATCTGTGCAAACGCGGACAAATAACTTCTGAGCCTGTTACCTTATCTGTGAAACAGAAGATGATAACGTCCCACTTCAGAGCTGCGATGCCGCAATGAAGTAATATTTGTGAAAAGGAAATACACATGCTCTAGGTACAGTAGTGGGTGCTTATAATCCTCCTCCTCACTGAACACTCCAAACAGCACTTTTCTCCTCTGCCTTCCTCAATGCACTGTGAGCGTCTAAAGACGAGAGCTATCTGCTACAGGGACTTCGCTCCGACTCCTCCCAAGTTGCCAAGTCCAAGACAAGAGCGCTGTTTATGTTTGAAAACCTAGGGATTCAGTCCCGAGAGGTCCTAACTGAACTAGAAGTCTCAAGCCCCGCCCCACCAGACACAGAGCAGGCCCCGCCCCTCTTCGCCCGTTGGCCCATTCAATTCACGCCGGCACCAATGGGCGGAGGCGGCGGTCGCGCAGTCTAAGGCCGAGCCCAGGGCGTAGTGCGGCAGTGTGCGGCCGCTCTGGCTTGAGGGAGACTTCGGCCGTCGAGCAGGAGACACGTCCCCCTGCCCGGAGCTGCGATGAGCACCCCAGCCGTGCCCCAGGACCTGCAGCTGCCCCCGAGTCAGAGGGCCCAGTCCGCGTTCAGAGGTGAGGGCCGCGGTGGCGGGAGCGGCCGGGGCGGCCGCGGGGGGATGGCTCGGGCAGGGCCATCAGGGCCTTCGGTTCGCAGACCAGTTTCCGCCCAGTTCAGTTGTGCGAGAAGTCTGGACAGGGTTTGTGAAATGGACAGTCGGAGTGGTGCCCGCTCCGTGGTGTTAGTGTGCGGGTTGAACGCGTTGCGTGCGGTCGCGACCCACTGGCGGCGGCGACGGGCTTCGGTGAGAGGGTCCGTTTAGCCGGGGGGTGGGGTGGGGTGGGGTCGGGGGAGTGTGCGGGGCTCCGGCAGGGACCCGCGTTGGGGACCCGGGCCCGCGGAGGCGAGGCAGCGTCAGTGCTGGGAGCTGACTGCGCCTGCGCAGGGCGCTCCCGCCTCCTGAGTCGGGAGTTAATTTCTGGAGGGACCGGAGTGTTCAACTGATGCTTAGATTTAACACATGTCGCCTTCGATCTTATAGAAATCTAGGGTTAGTCTTCAGAAATAATAGATATTTCTTGTCTAACACGTGGGAAAACAGGAAAGAAATTCTCCAATTTACCAATTCTGGTAAATTAGAACTTGGAGTCTGGTGTCTCATCTCTACCATTTAGCTTCTTAAAACTTGGCTTTCAGGAGCTGTATGTTGAAAATGATGTTCTCCAGACTTTTCACTTTCAGACAGCAGAGAATGTGATTCTTGTACAGAGTGGTTATGGGGACCAGTTATAGTAACAGTCATTTCAAAATGTGATTATTTCTCAAAGGCAGTACTGAACTGGGAAATTTTCTGTTATACATAAGATGTAATCTCAAGTAGAACATTTTTCGAAGTTAAATCTTCATTTAGTCAGTATTTTATTTGATGTTGTTATTGCAGCTGATGTTGACCTGTAGCTCTTTTGTTATTTAGAGCAAAGAAGACAAAAACTCAAGGAGCATCTGTTAAAAAGAAAAACTTTTTTTGCATACAGACAGGAAAATCAGATATTATCCAGGTGAGGTCAAATTTTTTTTCACTTCACATCTGTCAAATTATATCAGAGTTATCCAGTAAAGATGTAATGTGAGCCACACCTGTAATTTAAAATTTTCTAGTAGCCCCATTTTTAAAGTTTTGTTTTTTAAAGATGAAATGAATTTTAATACATTTTATTTAATCCAGTATTTTACTTTGTATTTATTTATATTAGGTACTCTACTTATTGATATATTTTGTCTTGATGAATGCTTCATACCCTTCCCCAGGGTGGAAGATACTCAGATTCTGCTATGTTTAGGAGATAGAGCTGGCAGGACGTGGTGATGGATTAGATATGGGATGTAAAAGAAAAAATAGAGTTGAAGATGATCCTTAATGTTCCAGGGTAAAGGAGGCTAAAGAGATATGACAACTAAATTCAATACCTGACCCTTATACTGTATTTAATAGTGGAAGGGGAAATGCTATAAAGGACATTATTAGGTTAGTTTTCAACTATGAACAATAGATTAAAATGGTTAAGGTATTATGAATTTGATAACTGTTCTGTGGTTATGTAAGAGAAAATTCCTATTTTTAGGAAATAAACATTTAAGTATTTAAGGGTAAAGAGGCATCGTTTATGTAACTTAACTTGAAAGGTTCAGATAAAAAGTTGTGTATACTCCACACGTAGACATGTTCAGAAAGAGTGCAAATGATAATGCAAATGGGATAAAATGTTAACAATAGGCAAATCTGGATAAGGAGTTTGAATTATTTATAATTTTGCAGCTTTATATAAGTTTGGCATTGTTTCCAAATAAAAATTTTTTTTAATTTTTTTACTCTACATTAATTAGTTGCTTTTCTTTAGAATAAACATTTTCTTTCACAAATCCCAATTTTTTGTTTAAGACAAAAGATGATCCTAGACTTTTGATTTGAATAACTGAGTGGATAGCGATACCATATATTGAGATGGGAAGCCTGAGGGAGGAGTGGGAGAATCGGGAGTTCTGTTCTGACCATGTTAAGTCTGAGGCAGCAATAAGACATCTAAGTGGAGATGCCAAATAGCGATGTGTCTGAAGTTCAGGGGTGAGAATGGGACTACAGATATAAACTTGGGAGTTGTCAGTGTGTAGATGGTATTTCTTTAAAACCTGGGGGTGGAATGAGATTACTAGAGAGAAAGCAAAGAGAACATTAATTCACATAAGACAGTGACTCTCTACTTATTTAAATAAGGAATCCAACTGGGTCGTGGGGTTTAGAGTACTCTTATACACAATGGGAAGAAAAGAACATTCTAAACTCAACTATACAGAAATCAAATTTTGTGGACTCTAAAATGTACATTTTGTTCACATTTTTACATCTCTGAACTTGAAATCTGCCTTAGAATCCAAGGCATATCCAACTGACCCTTTTTCTTCCCGTCGTTCATGGAATACAAAGTCACTTGCTAAGAGAATTCTCACAGCCTGTACTAACCTATACTGTAGCCTGTACTAGCCTATATCTGTAAAAAGGGAGTTTAATTCTTGAAGAAGCTTTTGCTTTGTATATATATATTCTAAATGCAATGCTATTTAGAAACTAAAATCCACATGATTAATAAATTAAGTTGTGAGTGTGTGTGAAAATTTTTGAATTTCTTTAGGGAGAGCTATTTAAAAATTTTTTTTCAATGTAAGTCTAGTACTAAGTACTTAAAACTAACCAAAGAAAATGTTGCTTAATAAAGATTTTTGAAGACTTGCTTGAATGACTAGAGGATGGTTTAGAATGAGATTGGGGGCGGAGGGTATTAAGGCTTGTAAGAAAATACCTTTAAATTCCTCAGCCGACTTGTTTACACTTTTAAATCACCCTATAATAAAGAAGAGTTTTGCTTAGGACAAATAAATCTCAGCTCAGTTCTTGCCTCAGTTTAAAACTGCAAAGTCAGATAATTGTGTATCCTCCCATACCTCCCCCAGAAAAGGAAACTTCCTTGGTACGGACTTTTTTTCTTTTTTTTAAGTGGTAGAGACCAGGGAGTGAGGATATCTGAAGGCCAGATCCAAGAAGAGACAAAAGTTCTGGAACTTAAGGCAAAAATGGTAAGATACGGAATAGCCCTCCTAAATGTTCCCTTTCCCCTCATTCCTAAAGAAGGTTTTTTCCTAAACTCTTTCTGCAAGATCTGTCTTTAACTGATTTGTCTTTAACTCTTTTAGACTGATAAAGAGAATGTCGGTAGACCTACTGGGATCAAGAATAATATAACAATGGAAAAAAACTGTATTCCTTTAAAACCTTCTACTGAATTAACCAATTCAACTACAGCAGTTGATACACCTAATTTTGAGGATAATAATCAAACTCTGCCATTGTTACCAATTAAAGATGACCCCCAAAGCCAACATATGACGTTAAGCCAAGCATTTCACCTTAAAAACAACAGTAAAAAGAAACAAATGACTACAGAAAAACCAAAGCAAGATGCTAACATGCCCAAGAAACCTGTGCTTGGATCTTATCGTGGCCAAATTGTTCAGTCTAAGATTAATTCCTTTAGAAAACCTCTACAAGTCAAAGATGAGAGTTCTGCAACAACGAAGAAACTTTCAGCTACTGTCTCGAAAGCCACGAAGTCTCAGCCTGTACATGCCAGCAGTGTAACAGTGAAAAGTGATAGAGCCTTACATATGACGACTGCCACTAAATTTGTGAGCACTACATCTCAGAGCAGTCAACTTGTGCGACCTTCTATTAGAAGTCACCACAGTAATAACCAGAACACCATGAAACAAGGAATCAGTAGGACGTCTGCCAGTGTTACAGTTCGGAAAGGGCCTCGAGAGAAAGAATTATTACAGTTAAATACGGTTTCGTCTATTATCAAAACCATTTCTTCTCAGGACGTAAAAAGAAATAAGACACTATCAAGAAGCATGACATCTGAAATGGTAGCCAGACCTGCTTCGTCTTCTAATACTAAACTGATAGAAAAGTCAAAAAGCATTGACCAGCGCAGACATACCGTGGTGAAAGCAGCTATTGATAGTAGATGGACTCAGCCCAGAGAAACTGCCGAGGAGAGAAAGTAAGTAGATGTAATTTTGTTAGCTTAATTTTTAGTAGGGTACCATTTGTGAATTTGGCTTATCATTTCCTTGAATGTATTAGAGCTTTTTGTACATGGATTCTCTTCAGTGTTAGGCAGATCAATTTAAGCAAATTTATATTGTGGAACAGTATGTCCTAAGTTATTGTGCTTGAGTGTGTTTAATTAGGTTGTTTTATGTAATCTAAGTTAAAATACTTAATAAAATTGAGAAATATTTTATAACCTCTCCATTTAAAAATGTATTCTTGGGGTCTTTGTGAGCATATCATTAACATTGATAGGTTCTGTATTTCTTTTTCTTCAAGCTGGTGAACTATGTATATGCCACCAGTGTAGAATTACTTAAAGACCTGATATATTTTTTTAACTTTCACTCTATTTGACAGAATTCTGTTATCAGTATCACAGTAATGTTTATATTGCTGCTTCTAACTGTAGGGCTCGTCTGAGTGAGTGGAAAGCCGGCAAAGGAAGAGTAATGAAAAGGCCTCCAAGCTCAGTGGTTACCCAGCCTGAGCCCGAAGCACAAAATGAAAAACCAGTTGGATCCTTCTGGACTACCATGGCAGAAGAAGACGAACAACGATTGTTTACTGAAAAAGTAAACAAGACATTTTCTGAATGCCTAAACCTGATTAATGAGGTAGAATCTTTGTCTTGTATTTGTGTAGTAGTTTATAGTTTGCAAATTAACCTTCATCAACATTATCTCATTAAATTATACTGTCACTCTTTTTTGACCAATTAATGTGTCAGCAGTGTTATGGAGACTTACTGTTAATTGTGAGATTGTTTCTCTTTAGCCTTAAATGGACTACATTCTCCTGAGTTCATATAAATATATCAAACGGATACTTAGATTTTTTTCAGTTGAGTTGTAAATATTGTATTCCTCTAAGACGTTACCATAGAGTGGGCTGGGGGTGGATATTCACTCTGATACTTTTGTTTTTACATTCATTCAATATATTTACAATTTTTTTTTTCAACTTATTCCCATACTTTATCAAAGACTAGCAACACAAATTATTGTCACAGATTAAATTTAACTAAAATAATTGCAAACAGAATCCCGTTAATCTAAACCAATATCATCATGGCCTTGAACTGTAGAATTTTACGATTTGGACCAGAATTCCTATGTGTATGGTAATCAACTTCAGAGTGTTTTTTTTTATTTCCTGACTTCTCCTTAATTTAAAAAAGTATATATATGTGTAGGGCTTCCCTGGTGGCACAGTGGTTGAGAGTCCGCCTGCCGATGCAGGGAACACGGGTTTGTGCCCCGGTCCGGGAAGATCCCACATGCCGCAAAGCGGCTGAGCCCGTGAGCCATGGCCACTGAGCCTGCACGTCCAGAGCCTGTGCTCCGCAACGGGAAAGGCCACAACAGTGAGAGGCCCGTGTACCGCAAAAAAAAAAAAATATATATATATATATATACACGTGTACATTTTAATATGTATAAAAATCATCTTAATATATTGTTTAACTGTCACTTATAGTTGTGAATTTCTTTTTATACATCTTTATTGGAGTATAATTGCTCCACAATGTTGTGTTAGTTTCTGCTGTACAACAAAGTGAATCAACTATATGCACACACATATCCCCATATCCCCTCCTTCTTAAGCCTCCCTCCTACCCTCTCTATCCCACCCCTCTAGGTGGTCACAAAGCATCGAGCTGATCTCCCCGTCACTCACTAGTATCTAAGATCCATAGCAAGACTGAACATATAGAGTGTGATTTCAAACCTTTCTCTAGTCTTCATGAGCATCTTTCAACTTTTTGTGGTTCTGACAACCAGTGAAAATTATAGTCAGGGAAACTGAGTCTCTTCTTATTTCGGCTCTGCTGGGGATTTTTATTGATACTATGGAATTTTTCTGCCCTACTACTTAACTGTATATAGCTCTTAATTAGTATTTCTTTTTTCTTCTGTCTCTGACTTTTGACTGATATGCTTCTTGCTAGCCATTCAGAACAAGTCTGGAGTAAGGAGTATAATGGTGAATATTTTATGAAAAATTTTCTAGCAACCTTTTCTCTCTTTATCACTGACCTTGATTACAGTAAGTTTACTTAATTGTTCATAGTTTGTAGGCTAAATGACATCACTCACTTTATTTCCTGCTATTTTAGGGATGTCCAAAAGAAGAAGTATTGGTTACACTAAATGACCTGATTAAAAATATTCCAGATGCCAAAAAACTTGTTAAATATTGGATATGCCTTGCACGTGTTGAACCACTTACGAGTCCTATTGAAAATATTATCGCAATCTATGAAAAGGCCATTCTGGCAGGAGCTCAGGTGAGATTAAAACTTACTGATCTTTATTATTACAGTGTAAATAATTCAGAATTATTTTGGAACACATCACTGCATAACTTGATAAAATTGTGGTTATATATGTGGCAGTGATGAATGTTTAAAGGCCACAAGGATTGCATATTATAAAGGCTGTTTCTCAACCTTCTAAAACTTGCTCATGTACTAGGGATAATCAGACCTTAGAAAATAGATATAAGCTGAAATGTGTATTTCATGAAACATGCTGTGAGAAATATTTTAGCACAGCATGTCGTTTTGCATATTCTCTAGTTGAGAAATCTACTGGGAAACCGAATTTTCAATATTAAAATGTATTTATTGACTAGAAAGCAAATGGAATTAAATTAACTTTTAAAATGTTAGTAAGTTCTGATGGCTTTGTGAGAGAATTCTCTTTCACTTTAGGAGTATATCTTTATGGATTCACATTTATATGCCATATGTTTGGTCCAGAAAACAGCAATAAACTAATATCTCTGACATTATTACCATCATAGTGGTTTGATATTATACCTGTCACCTCTTCCTTATGTGCTGCTACCAGAAAAACCCTGGGTATAGAAAAAAATGGTATCTTGAGGTTTTTTTGATTTGATTGGTTTTGTTGTCTTTATGGGCAGATATTCCTAAAATGTATTTCCTTCTGACCAAGTTTCTCAGAAACGCATTCTTGGAAATTGTTTACAAAGAGAGTTTTTTAAAAAACTTTTTTAGCCTTTTCTTAAGAAAGGTCTATATCCTTTAGTATCAGCAAAACCAGCCGATGCTATTTGATCTTTCACCTGAATCAAAAATCAAATATTCAGCAGATATTCTCTCTATGACTATTATGTGTAAAACACTTTGCTGAAGGGTAATTGTATTTCACCGAATCTCACCTGGAAGAGAATGTTAGGTCCCTACTACATTGAACCAGAAGGGACGTTACTTATAGCAGCTTGTGACAGTATACCTAGGATGCAAAACTAGAGCCAGGTGTTCACAGAGAAAGCAGTAGTGTAAAGAGAAAGATGTGAGACCAGAGCAGAAATTGGAAAACAGGGATCAAAATTAGCCAAGAAAATGAAAAGCCAGATGGGTGAGTAGTTCAGGACTAAGTTCTAGAATTAAGAATTTGAGCCTGAGCTTCTCTTCTGTATAATATTTTGAATATATTGCATTAGCAGGCATCGTGGTTCAAAGGAACATAGTAAGTACTTATAATATCTGACATATAATGGATACTTTACTAAACTGTTGAATTTTTTTTTTTTTTTTGCGGTACGCGGGCCTCTCACTGTTGTGGCTTCTCCCGTTGCGGAGCACAAGCTCTGGGCGCGCAGGCTCAGTGGCCATGGCTCACGGGCCCAGTCGCTCCGCAGCATGTGGGATCTTCCCGGACCGGGGCACGGACCCATGTCCCCTGCATCGGCAGGCGGACTCTCAACCACTGCGCCACCAGGGAAGCCCCAAACTGTTGAATTTTTGAATAAATGAAATGTTAGGCTGATCAACCTTGAACTCTTCAGAAATGCATTTAATAGCATGTGAAACAAAAATATAACCATGGACTTGGATGTAGGGGAAAAGGAATAAACTAATATAAATTTAGAGAAACTTAATATAATCAGCTCTTTGATAGATATTAATAGTCTTAATTTGCTATTTGTTCATTCATTTTGTTCCTATCAGGTAAGCAGTAATATTTACCATAGGCTGAAGAAAAATTATGGGGAAATTTTTTAAACTGATGAAATTCTATCCCTTAAGTTCATTTTTATTGGAAAAGACAGTCACTTTTTTCAATTGGAGTGGCAAATTAAGTGTTCTGAGAAAAATGGTCCAAGAATCATTGCTTTGTTATATAATATGAAATTTAATCACTGGTTTTAATATTTTCAACTTGGACAACCTTAGTTAATGTCTGAGAGTATAAAACTTATATGGGTCTGCTTTCTTCATTAAAAAAAAAATTAAGCCTATTGAAGAGATGCGACATGCAATTGTTGACATTCTTACAATGAAGAGTCAAGAAAAAGTTAAATTTGGTAAGTTAGTTTCTTTTGTTTTCTTCAAGTGAATTGTGATTTAATTAAATTTCTTTGCTGAGTTATTTTTCTTTTATCTTTTTAAACTTTTTAAATATTTAAGTTGTTTCTTTCCTCATACTTTTGTTGACATACCTCTGAAATTCATTGGCTTTACGTGGTATAAATAATTTTTAATTAGGAGGTCTGATTTGAAACCCAAATTTGTTATCATGTGTCTGTGAAAGTTACCTTTCTAGGCCTTAATTTCCTGTCTTAAAAATGAAGCAGTTTGACTAGATGATCTATAAGACTTTTTGGTTCAACAGAGAATATTTCTGTTTATGTTTGCTGTTATTATGCCCCAGTGGAACATACAGATGTATATGCTCTGATCTTACTGGCTATATTTAATAAAGGAGCGTAAGAGGGAATGGTCAGGGAGACAGGAGGAGAAACCAGGAAAAACTAGTATACCACAAACCAAAGGAGCAGAAAGGTTTAAGAATAGCCCAACCCATTGAAATGGGTGAAGGGCGTCAAAAGATACAAATTACCAGTTATAAAATAAATAAGTCTTGGGCATACAAAGTACAGCATGGTGACTGTAGATAATAACACTGTATTGCATATTTGAAAGTTGCTGAGAGAGTAGATCTTAAAAGTCCTCATCACAAGAAAAAAAATGTGTAACTATATATGGGGAGAGATGTTTTCATTTCACAATATGTTCTGGTCATCATTTCATGATACATACAAATATCAAATCATGTTGTACACTTGAAACTAATATAATGTTGTATGTCATTTATACCTCAATTAAAAAAATTTTTTTTTTAAAGTATAACCTAATCCTGTGTCTTTGTGCTAAAGACAGCAAAGTAGAAATAAGAATTTTATAGAACCTTCTTCCTCATAATTCTCGCTGGCTCTAGAGATATTTAGAAAGAAAAAAAAAAGTATTTAAACCTGATTCAGTTATTCTACCTTTTTTTTCCTTAATAGAATCATACTAGTTAGTGGAATCTTTCCAGCTGGTAGAATATTTATCTTTAGATGGAAAAAGAAATGCTATCCATAAACTCTTGGCTTTCAAAATATATAATTATAAATTCTAGGTATAAAATCCATTTTACAAATTAAAATTATTTGTAAACAGCAAGAAAACATCTTTGGGAAGTATAAGACAAATAATAAGAGAGAGAAGCACCACTTATCTCTCAGATTCCTTAATCCCAGAAATCCAAACTTGACTACATCACTTTTCCCTAAACCTTTTCCTTAGTTTGGTTCCCTATCTCAGTGACCGACACTGTCGAGTTCTCCAAGCCAGAAATCTTGGGGTTATATTTCACTCCTCTCTTTTCCCACTTTCCCACCCCTGTTTCCTAGCCAATCAAATTCAGTTTAACTTCCTAGGCATCTCTTAAAATCTGTCCACTTCTCTCCATCCTTACTCTTATTACTATAGTCATGGTCACTGACAGCTCTTAGGTGGACTACAACAACGGTTTCCTTACTTAGTTTCCTGCTTCACTGCTCTGGCTCCAATCTGTTCTCAAGACTGCAACCAAAATGCCCCATCACGTCTCTGCTTACATTCCTGATCCCAGCCTCTCTTGTCACTCCCTCTCCTACACATCCCTGATTTCTTTCTTTACTTTTTTTTTATTTCCTAGAAGGGGCTGTACTATCTCTCTTGCCTCTGGGTCTCTCCAAGCCAGTCTTCTACTTTTAACCTAATTCATATTTATCCTTTAGACCACAGTTCACCTGTCACTTCCTTGAGGCAGCCTTCCCTGATGTCCACCTTTCCTCTCAACCCAACTAGATGAGATGCCCTGTTTTGTGCTCACTGGTTTTCTCTGTGCAGTATTTTATGCACTTGATTGCTTGTTTGTTTGTCTTGTCTTTCAAACTCTAAACTCTGTTGTCAAGGGCTGGGTCTGATCTTCCTCGCCACTGCAGCCCCAGTACTACTGCAAAAATATTTGTTGAATTAATGAATCGATATTCCCTCTCTCCTCACTTCAACTTATCCTCAGTAAACCACATTCACTTTATAATGTAACTAAAATCATCACTTAGTAAAAATCTGTATCAATTTTAAAAAAAGGAAAAAACCTAATAATTTCCTAATAATCAAATCTAAAGGTCTTTTCAGCTCAGTGGATTTACCAGGATGTCTCACAAGTATTTCACATCTATCATGTTTTATTTGGAACACCTTGTCTTCCCTCGCTGCTTCCTCATACCACCATCTCTTCCTCCCAAAAAGAAAAAAAAAAAGAAAAAATCCTCTTTTGTCATTAAAGACTCTGAAGCAAGAAATTTTAGAAGGAATGCACACATCCACACTCATTCAGACCTTCATATGCGTTAATTTGTTAAGTCCTGATTCAGGAATAACACTAAACTTGGGCCCTTCCTTCTCACTGTCCACCTCTACCACCTTGCTCAGGCTGTGATAACAGCTTTGTCTTCTTACCATCACAGATCATTACCTTTTTTTTTTTTGGTTGTGCTGCACAGCATGTGGAATCTTAGTTCCCCGACTAGGGATCAAACCCATGCCCCTGCAGTGGAAGCACGGAGTCTTAACTGCTGGACCACCAGGGAAGTCCCACAAATCATTCCCTGCCATTCTAAACCGTTCTGTATAGTGAAATCTAATTGTATCTGTCTCTCCAGTGAATTTTTTTTTTTTTTTTTTGCGGTATGCGGGCCTCTCACTGCTGTGGCCTCTCCCATTGCAGAGCACAGGCTCCACACATGCAGGCTCAGCGGCCATGGCTCACAGGCCCAGCCACTCCGCAGCATGTGGGATCTTCCCGGACCGGGGCACAAACCCATGTCCCCTGCATCGGCAGGCGGACTCTCAACCACTGCGCCACCACGGAAGCCCTCCAGTGAATTTTTTTAACTAAAACTTCCTACCTGTCTGAACTCATCACCTCCTTCCCACATTTGCACCTTGCTCCTTACCCTATGTTCTAAGCACACTGGCCCTTTAATATTGTCTTAATGGATCATTTTCTTTTAAGCTTCATATCGAAATTGTCTTCCTTTGTCTTGTACTCATTTTTCAAGACCCTGCCTAAATGTCATTTGTGAAGCCTTCCCTTGCCATCTCCCTGTCCCTCAAGCAAAGTCAGTTATTTCTTTTTATGGGTTCCCATAACCTTTTGTTTTTACCTCAATGAAAGCATTTTCCTCCTTTTATAATTATTTTAAAGCATGTCTCTTCCACAGAATGTGAACTTTTTAAAGGATGGGGATGATTTCCTTCTTATATTTGTATCTGTAATCCCTGACACATAGGAGATAGTAAATATTTGTTAAATAATTGTTAGCAGTATTTGCTTAGAAAAACTAATGGTTAGGAGATGGCAGTTTGGTTCCTTTATTTTGAAAATCTGGCCAATTGTAAATAACTTTGTCTTCTGATTTTGTTCTTTAAATTTGACCAAAAGCTTAATCTATAAATCTGTTTCTATAGGAGAAAATATTGAGGAGGCTTGTGCGACCAAGGAACAAATCCAAGAAGCCACCATTGACGATATAAGTGTTAATCTGGGGTCAGAAAAACCGGAAATAGAAAATAAGCATCCTAGAAATGTGGTATTTCAAGGTTGTGAAAAAGAGCAAGATGACAAAACAAAAGACCCAACCAGTGATGTTAAAACCCCCAATACAGAAACTAGGGCGGGTTGCTTAATTAAATATAATGTGTCTACTACTCCATACTTGCAAAGGTAAACTTTTAAAATGTAATGTGCTCTGATTTGTTTTTATGCTTAGGATAATGCATGTGGTATTTTAAAATGTTTAAGAGAGCTTCCGATTAGAACTATTTGTTAATAGAAAGGTTTGAAACAAACAAAATGTGATTGGAACATTTCGCCTTTTAAATACTGTATTTGCTTTGCTTTTCCCTAAATATTGCCATTTTAAAAAAGAAAAACTTTTACATCATTTTACTTTTATCTCTGTATTATTAATAACAGTGGGTTTTGGAATTGAGCAATTAGCCAATTCTATAGATATTCAAGTATCTACTGTGTACAAGTTGTAACAACAGAGAAATGAATAAGTTCCTTACTTACTGCAGGACCTCTTTCTGTAGGACAAGCAGTGGCATGGTTGTAACATGCAAGTTATAGTATGATAAATAGCATAAAAGTGTGAAGTGAAAATGTTAATGTGTTTTTTAACTCTGGGAATAATTTTGTGGTTTTTTTAGTGTGAAAAAGAAGATGCAGTTTGACGAAACAAATTCTGCATTTAAAGAGCTAAAGTTTCTCACACCAGTTAGACGATCTCGACGTCTTCAAGAGAAGACTTCAAAATTACCAGATATGTTAAAAGACCATTTTCCCTGTGTGTCTTCACTGGAGCAGTTAACAGAGTTGGGAAGTGAAACTGACGCTTTTGTGTGCCGCCCCAATGCGGCCCTGTGCCGCTTGTACTCGGAGACTGACACGACAGAAGAGAAGTGAAGCTCTGATAGGAGGTTGTATTATTCCAAGGGTGTTTGGTTGGTTGGTTTGTAGTGGCTTTGCATGTCCCTTAGGTCAAGAGTCGCCAAGTACCTAAGTATTCACGGCAGTCAGCGCTCCTACTAATGTCTACTCTATATCAGGTGTTGCGTCTGTGCGTCGGAAAGCTAATCCTACCTTGTCGATTGGGTAGGAGATTTCCTCTAAGACAGGTAAATTTTGTGAAGACAAGAGTTAGCTTGCTTTGTCACCCAATTCTAGTAGCCCAAACTGCTATGGTCTCCTGTGTCCCTGGGACTCTGCCCCTGGTTCTTCACTGTCACTCTCCAGCAATGCCAGTGAGTCTGCATCTGTGGTCTCTTGGCCTCTTTTTTCTTGTAGCCGAGGTCCCCGAGAGGGACAGTTAACTAAATACTCCATTTCTAAGAGAAGATACTTTGTTGGAAGAAAGAAAATGTGCCAAACCTAGTGGGCATTCAGAACTTTAAATCTGAGTTCCTTTCCTTAGTTCCTTTTCTAACTTGACTATCCAAAATGTTAAAAATTTTAACTTCCGTCACTTCTTTTGATATAGTTTATAGACTAATAGGAGGCAGTTAGAGAAGGAATATATAATATTTCATAAATGTCATCCTAGTTTAGGTAGTATTTCTAAAATAACTAATACTTAAAATTGGTTTCTTTCTTGTAATATAAAAACTTCATCATGTCTCCTAAAACCTGATAATCATACACAGTAAGTAGGTCTCTGCTCCCCACACATAAATACCACCAGTAAAATTGTTTTGTAAGTCTCTGAACTAATACTTAAACGGCATACATCCTTCACCAACTCTACAGTTTCAAGTAAGGATTTAGTCATTGTAAAAGGTTAGATAGTTTTAAAACTGTAATATGAATGTGGTTGAAAATCACATACTTATTCTTATTTATGTTCATTAATTCCATTTGTATAATAGTGCCAGTCTTTGTTCTATTTATTGTCTTATGTTCTAGAGAGTAGGGTTTTTATTCCTTTTAAGCTGTGTACCTAATATGTATACAATAAATGAAAACAGCTATATAACGATATTGCAATGACATTTCTTTCAACAAATATAAAATGCAATTTAACCACGGTGAATAAATTTGAACCTTGCCTTTGAAATACATTATAGTGGGATTGGACTTTAGGTTTTTCAACACTTAAAATAAGTGTGTGCTTAATGGTGTATTTCCTTTTGAAAAATTATCAATCTACTTACCTAAAAATTAAAAACTAATTCTTTAGGTTTTTATCATCCTTTGTATGAATGGCGCAAAATATGCCATTTTGAAATAAACTTCAAGCTGGCATATACTCTCAGCTTTGTAATATCCATACCATATGTTTCATTAGGCCATATAACATAGCTTGAAATATCTCAGTGAAAGAGAGCTTGAGATAAACTGTTCTGTTTGGACAGGTTTCATACAGTGGTTTTTTTCTTTTTTTCCTCTTCAACGGAGGGAAAATCTATGTAAATCGTCATAGTTCTAACACTTATTGACTAGTTGTAACTCCTTTCCAGATGCTTAAGAACAGTTAGAACATGTCTGACCTAGGTTTGTTCCAAGCTAAATATCTCCAAGAATGTGATGGATGGTGCATGAGCCTTGAAGTCCAACAGACCTACATTCAAAAGTTCTGCTCCTACCTTCTCTTAAAAGTTACATGACTGTGGAGAAGCTACTTAGTTGAATCTCCTGTTTCTGAAGGGTGAAGTGGAGATAATCCGTTTTGGTCATTTTGTATCATTTTTATCTGCCTGTCCCCCCTGTTGAATGTCCAGAATGGGCACCTGACTGAAGCTGGACTGTCAGAATCCTTTCCACAGGTGTTTGGAATCAGGACTGAGAGTCAGTCTTTCCTATGTAGTTGGACCTGGAAAATGTAAATAGGCACTGGGAGACCGTTGGAAGGTTGGGGAGCAAAGGTCACCAGAGAGAACAGTGAAGTAACTACCCAGAGAAAAGCAGGGGCTCCTGCCTGGGGTTTTCTTTTTCTTTTTCTTTTTTTTAATTTTAAAATGTTGGTTTTATTTTAAGACTCTCTTAACTGCTCCAGCAACCCCAGGCAGCCTCTACATCCCTCACACAGGACTCATCCCAGCCGCCCCCGCTAAACTATCCGAAGTTGTGGCCTCAGTGAGTTTTGAATTCAGCAGGGACGGAAATTATTTAGGGGCCCACAGGCAGGCATGATTTTCACTTGTATAG